CCCGGGCGGCCAAGCCCGGACCAGCCGCACACAGACGAGTGACACCACGTTTCCTTCACACTCTTTATTGCACCCCTCTGGATGCAGATGGAAATGGCACGACCCAGCCCCTGACAAGCCAGCTGCCCCCCTTCGCCGCCCCCATCCCGGCACCAGGGCGGCAGCGTCCCGGCCTCCCCACAGGAGCTGATCTCTGGGCAGGGCAGGAGCAAGAGCTGGAAAGAAAAACCCAGGAGTCCTGGCTCTGTGCCTTGCCCCACCCTACCCACCAGACCCCACTCTCCTCCCAGAGCTGGGAGAGACCCCAGGAATACTGGCGTTCACGAGCCCCTGCTGCTGGGAATCACAGTGCTGACCCCCCCCACAGTCTGGGGGGCCCCCCACTCCAGATCCTGGCTTCTCGGCACAGGGGACCTGGCTCAAGGGGGCCCCAGCTGGGACCTGCGAGGAGAGGAGGGGGGGTGAGCGTGGGGGGAAGCGGGGCGGAGGGTCAGAGCTGTCGGGCAGTGCCTGCTCATGGGGCTAGGGGAGGGGCCACTGAGAACGGGGCGGAGTCAGATGGGCGGGAAGGGGGCAGGGGTTGGCAATTTTTATTTAAACCCCCCCTCTCCCATTTTTATTTAAAACTTTTCAGGGAGCCCCTGTGGCACCCCCACACCGAGGCCCCGCCCCTTCTCCAAGGCTCTGCCCCTGCTCGCTCCTGTCACTCGCCCTGCCCCGCCCTCACTGACTCAGCGGGCTGTGCAGGCGAGTGGGGGGCTGAGGGGACCCCGGGGCAAGTTGGTCACGGTCCCAGCACTCGGGCGGGAGCAGGATACGGAGCGTCCCTGCGCAGAGGGGCCCCAGGGAGCCGGCGCCCAGGGGCGGGAGCCGTGCAGGGCCGGGGACGGGCTGAGGGACTCAGGCAGGAGCTGATCAGTTCGCCCTGCAGGGCCGGGTTTGAAAACACTTCCCTAAGGGAAACGTGATCACCCCACCCTGGGATTCCTGGGGGGTTCCCCTGGGGAGGTAAGGTCCCCCAAAGGGTGGGATTCCTAGGGGGTTCCCCTGGGGAGGTAGGGTCCCCCAAGGGGCGGGATTCCTGAGGGGGTACCTCTGGGTGGAGGTGAGGTCCTCCAAGGGGCGGAATTTCTGGGGGGGGTTCCCCTGGGGAGGGGGGGGCCCCCAACGGG